AAGAATGGTTGTTTTCAGGAGAATGGATGCAACTTCAGTCAGCATGTTAGGGAAATTAAGCCAACCTCCAGATACCATCACTGCTTCTGTCTTCTGTGAGTAGGATACATGCATGCATATATGTATTGTGTATGTATATATGACATAATAGAAGTAAAACTCTTTAGAGGAACAAATAGGTGTTGACAGAGGTTTCTGTCCTGCCCGGTCCCACAGCCATTCAGTCCCAACAAAACACACAGAGGTCTACATTAATCATAAACTGGTTGACCTATTTGATCAGGCTTCTTATTAACTAATTCCTACATCTTAAATAAGTCCATTATTTTTGTCTGTGTTAGCCACATGGCTTGGTACCTTTCATCAGCGGGCATTCTCATCTTGCTTCCTCTCTGTCTGGGTGACAACTGCAGACCGAATTTTTCCTCTTCCCAGAATTCTCCTGTTCTCATTGCCCCACCTCTACTTCCTGTCTGGTTGTCCCGCCTATACTTCCTGCCTGACTTCTATCCAATCAGAATTTTATTAAACAAGTACAGGAAACAAATCTTTACAGGGTAAACCATTGTCCCACATCAAATAAGGGCTAATGGTAGGGAATGCAGAGGAAATATGCTCAACAAAACATATGTTAATTGTATGAAAATATCTCCTCATATACAAAAGTACCACACAAACAATATATATAATGAAACTTTAAAAATAAATTTTAAAAAAACTACTAAAAGTGCTCTTAATTGTTTCATCCTTCTGTCTGTACACATTGATATGTAATTTTATAGTTCCCCCCACAAGAGATGGGGCATATTCTCTATTCCATCAATCAAACTGACACTAGCCTCACTTTGAAAAACAGGATGTGGCAGCAGAGATGGAGCCAAAAGAAGGTTAGCAGCTTTCACTCCTGCTCAGAATCTTATCCAGTGGCCAAGAGAAAAGGCCTGGATACTCTGAGTAGGATAATAATCCACATGGCATAAAGGTGCCTCTACCAAAACAATCCTGATTAACCAGCTGCAGCACTGCCTGGGCAGTTGACTTAAGAAAAATGAATCTAATGTAGACTAAAAACATCAACTAGCCATAATAAGCACAAATTTCCAACCAACAGAATTAAAAGGCAAATAAATGATAGTGAAGCTACAGTATTTTGGAATGATTCGTTACTTAGAAAAACTGGTTAATACACACTATCCTAAGACAGGATATTTGGGAAACAAACTTCAACACACAGCAGAAAAAAATTTGAGTATTTGAGAATTTGTGAAGGTGGGTTAAGCAATGCCTAGGAGTAGTGGCATTTCCAATGCATTTTAATAAATAAAATTTGCCTGGGATTAGGAAAGTAAAACAGTCACACTGGCCAGCCATAAAGACCAGGCAGCTATGACACGTACCTTTAATCCCAGTGGTGCATGCCTTTAATCCCAGTCCTAGGGAGGATTATAAAATGGAAGGAAACAACTCTCAGACACAGTCTCATTCTAAGATTCCTGGAGGTAGAACCGTCATTTTGGACTGTGGTTGAGGTAAGAGCCAACCTACTTTGCTTTTCGGATCTTCAGGCTGAACCCCAATTTCTCATTTTGAGTGTTAATTAATTGTGCATCACCAAGACCTCATCTCATGAACCTCCCATAGTGTTTCTCCTCACCATCCAGCACCCCCTAGATTTCTGAAGTCCCTATACGCCTCCTAAATGTCTCAGTGGCCCACTGTGGCTTACAAAGAGATGGAGTGTAATTCTATCATCTCCCAGAAAGCGATTGCAGCTGACTCAATTGTGCTTGATGGCTTGGACAGGTCTGATGGGAGGCCTGAGTCGTGCACACTGAGACCTGCCTTAGGTTCAACAATTTCTGGGAAATGTTTAAGTCCAGAATTTGGGAACTGATCTAAACTGTTTCCATCTTTACTTCAGTCCTCATCTGTGGATTTCCCCACAAGAGAAAGAAACTGAGTTTGGCAGCAGTAGCATTTCACAAAGCCATATGTAAAAGCAATTGAATTCTAGATTTTAGTGACAATTTTAAAAAGCGCCATCATAAGATCGACCGCCTTTTAGAGGTGACAGCTGCACAAATTACATCACGGTGTCGCTGGTCTTTAAACATCACTCTGAATTCACAGAGGATGTTGGGCTTGAGTCAGACAAAGGCTAGACGGACAGGTTTTTTGCAAGTGGGGGACATGACTAGGATGGGAGGAAAAGAAAAAGTTCATTTTTGCTGGGAGAGAAAAGTTTGAGGAACAGTTCTGAAGGTAGCAGGACCTCCAAAGAGCTAGTCTGGGGTCAACAATACAGATGCCTATAGATGAGGCAGGATCCTTGTGGCAGAAGTTATAGGATGGCCATTTTTTTCTTAAAATTGAAAAGAAAGGTGTAAGTGGCTGAAGAGACATAAAACTCTTTAGTTCTGGAGTGGAGATGGCACTGTAAGCTTTCCCAGCACAACAGGACTCAGGGCTTTGCTCCCCTGCTGGGACACCTCACCCAGTGATAGAAGCAGCCTTTCCGATGGTGGCTGCAACCTCCTAGCAGAGAAGAAGCACTCAAGCTGGTAGCTCTCAAATAGAAGCAGTTTGATGGGAAGGGGAATCACTGGAGAAGCTATGCAGTTGATATCACGCTCTCTAAGGCAGGGGGACAATGGGCATTTGACCTTGCAGCAGCTTGCTCGCTGAGCGTCTCCCATCTGAGCATCAGGTCTCGCCTGCTCTCTGTGAGTTAATGTATCGAAAGAGCTCTCTGCTCACAAACAGAATAAAAACAGTCATCTCCTCTTGACAGCCATTCTTCTCTGCCTCACAAGCCTCTGCCACTGTTCTTTCTGCAGCTGCTTCCTCTGATGCACGTGGACTTGACTTTTAGGAGGAATGGAAAATTGCCATGCTATAAAATATCACTCATACATTCAGAACCCAGAACGAAATAACGTATCATAGCTAGACACTTCTGTTGGTTAGCTCACCTCTGTGGTTAGATCCCAGGGAAGATACAGCGGAGAGATGGACAGTGGTTCCTCCGTCTGGCATCCTACCATAGCAGAAGCATAGTATAGTACCATTCTGAACAAGTACTGAGGATGAACAAAATCCCCATGGGAAGTCCCCTTAAAGATCACTGTTACAAAGCATCTCGCCTGCTCCTCCATTCAGAAGTCACATCCTTCTCTGGGGCTAGGACGTAGTTCAGAAGTAAGAGCTCTTGCCTAGAACACATGTGACTCTGAGTTCAATCCCCAACACTGAAAAGGGAGGGATAGAGGGAGAGATGGGAGGTGAGGAGGATGGAAAAAAAAAAAGGGAGGGAGTGGAAATGTTATGACCTTACCCTGCTAGAGTCCTGGATTCCTTTTGCTGAATTTTCACCTACAAGACTTGAGAATGTGTCATCACATAAAGCAAACCTTCAAAACAGCAAAAGAGGAGCTGATCTCACTTGCAAGCTTTTCTGAATGCAGCAGGAAAGGCCCCTGGAAAGAGGCATTCTTAGGAACATTTTCTCAGTGGTGAAACTGAAGACAGTCATGCAAGCCTGTGCCTGCCTCCTGAGGTAAGCCATCTGGGCACAGTAACTGAACTGTATGGGTGGGTGTGGACTTTTTGTGCTGGAAAGGAAATTCTGCCAGTGTGGTGGGCATTTTCTTTTTAATCTCAATCCTGTCCTTAACTATGTGTCTTAAAGTCTCCTTGCTGGTATCCTATACTGCAAATGTCAGTAACAGTTCTCTTAAGCACCTCTCCTTGTGTAGTGGCTACTACCTGACTTCTGCCCTCTACTCAACAGCTGCTGCTATCCAGCCCTTGCTGTATACCTGTTGCTTCCAGAGGCTTTATGTGTAGTTTCTCATTCAATCAAAAGGTCATCTAGTCCCCATCCAACCTCCCCCCACCATTTTAGTTCTTGTTCCTCCTTCCAGGTCTAGGCTGTTACATTTGAGTAACTTGGTCTTCGTGTGGGACTCCTAACAGTGAGAGTAAGGGATGTATGTCTCTGACTCTGTTGCCTGTTTTGGGGACCCATTCTGCCTACCAGATTGCCTCATCCAGCCTTAATAGAAGAGGAGGTGCCTAGTCTCATTGCAACTTGGCTGGCTGATATTCATGGGATGCCCACCAGTGCCCAAAAGCAGTGGAAGAAGGGATGGAAGGAGGATGGGGGAAGAACTGGGAAGAGAGGAGGGAGGGGAAACTTTGGTTGGGATGTAAAAACATTTTTTTTAATTTCACCTAAAAAAAAAAAACAAAAACAAAAGCAAAACAAAACAACTAGCATGTAGAATGTCGCAGATATATTGTTTGGATCTTGATCCACTTCCCATAGATCCTAAGGAGCGCAAACGTAGTTTTAGCTTTCCTAAGGCCACAAGAAATAGCAGAAATAAGGACTCAAAAAGTGGTCAAAGTGGTTCTAGAGCCGAAGTTCTCCATGCCTATGCTACACTATCTCCTTGCCCTTGCCCTCATGACTGACACTAACAGAGCCCTGGGGTACAAAGCCTACCTCTATCTAAACCAGCTGTTCTCATACCAACCACAACAACATTTTCTGAAATGCCTAATCTTTTGTTTTCAAAGCTCTATAAGCTGTTCTAAGCAGAAAGTGTGATGACCGAATTCAGGTGTGTCCTACCTTCACAGTTCTCGTGACGTTCCCGAGAAACCGTAAGCAGCAGAAGCTCCAGATGCAATCTGAATCCTTCTCTACTATGGAGCTCTAAAGCTCCATTCTTTACTATCAATGTGACTTAGGCAGGCTCCTTTACATCACTAACCTCGTTTTATCCATAGGTCAAAAAGTGAAAGAAAAATATGCATCTTCTCTTGTGCAGTGTGGATGGTGTAAGGAAACAACATGAATGAAGTGTTTGGTGACCAGCCCGATCACTGCATTAAAGCCTCTGGCTAATTACTCAGAACTAAGATAAGTTGATGTGAGGAGTCAAGGTCACCATTTTTACACAGAGAAAATCAGATATGCAGAGAAAACATCCGTGTTCTTTTATTTGGTAGTTTCATTCAGGTAGTTTCATGCCATCAGTAATTATGGAAATATGAAATGAAAGAGTGTTTTTCCCCCAACAAGTCTCTGAGAGCAGAGCTTCTAGTTGCCCTGTCTTCTGAGACCACACCTTCCTTTATCCTTGCTTGGCAGACACAGCTCCACACAGCCCCTGGCCTCCTCTCTCGTGTGGCACTGGAGCGGAAGAGCTGAAGAGAGAGACAAGAAGAAAAAGAAGGATTTGTAATGAAGCTCTTCAAGTCAAAGTGTCTTTCCTAAACAACTTTCTTAAGAAATTCTGTTTAACACTAGTCATGAGCTCCCTTTCACGCTTATTCAATTGCGCCATTTCACAGTCTGGGTGAATGGGGTATTATAAAGGAGGAGCTGTGGGATGGCCTTCACATGGATGAAAAGTACAAGTCAGTTATAATCACCTTCAAGAGTGACCCGCCGCCATACAACACTGGCCTACCCCTACCTGAGAAGTGCTCGTCGTTGTGCTTAGAATGTCCCTGTAGCTATTCATTACCACTACACCTAATTTTTAAATTTGAATCCACTATAATCAGCATATTTGATTTTTAACGTATAAAACCATTAACCTTTTTTGAAGTTACTTCTAATACAAATGAAGATTGAAAGGACATAAAATAATATCTTAATGCAATACCTGTATTTTTCATAAAATAACTTACATCTATAAGAAACCACACAGGGCCTATAAAGAAGGCTCAGAAGTTAAGAGCACTCACTGCTCTCCCAGAGGACCCAAGCCAGCACTCATGTCTGGAAGCTCACAACCACCTGTATTACAGCCCTATCACACACACACACACACACACACACACACACACACACACACACACAAATAAAAATGAATATTTTTTAAAAAGAGAAAGTCAGGCAAGTGTGGTGACACACTCACAACTCTGTAAGCACCCTTAACAAAGCTGGCTTCCATTTCACATTTAAAACTAGAAACTCTCTCGCTTGAGCAGGCTCACAAATGATGCCCCAACAAATTCTCACCTAGTTTGTAATTGTCGCAGTAGGGTTGAACCTAGTGCTCTGTGCATGCTAAGCAAGCATTCCACTTTTTGTATTCCTACCCCTCCACTTTGCTCTGTAGTGAACACTAATGCTAAGCAATCCTCTCAGGGTAGCCAAGGCTTGCTGTGTTTAAACTTGTGGAGTTGGCAGGGTGATGTCACATCACCCTCTCCCAAACTCAAGGTGCCTGGGAAGAGGAATTAAGATTCGGCATACACTGACTAAAAGGATAGATAGTGCAGTGTCTCCGGCACTGGGAGCTGGAGTCAGGGCGCTTGTATTTGAGATCTGACTATACCACTTACTAGCTTTGAAACCTTAAGTGAGATAATCTTCATGGGCCTCAGTTTCTCCAAATGATAGTAATGGCACTTGTCCCAGGATCATTGTGAGTATTAAGACAGCCGTAGAAAGAAGCAAGAGCTCTGGCTAACACCCAACAACTGGAGCTACTTTTATTATACTTCGCTCCGCCTGTTTTTCCAGGGAAGGACAAACCAGGCTGGTGCCCAATCAAAGCCTCTATAAGTGCTTACTTAGAAAAGACTTGGGAAATATGTAATTACATATAAATAAGCTCATACATCACTGAATGCTTTGTTGTATATGTATATATACCATACTTATGCATAGATTGACAACTAAAATCTAGAGAATGCAAAATTCTGGAATGTGACCCCATTTTACCTAATTCTAAGAATGTGTTCCAGATGACTGACTAGTGTACTCAGAATGGTAGGCTCAAGAATTTAACAATATTGTTCTAGCTCTATTAACTCCTCTATGAATTAAAACATTTCAACTCCTGGAATCTCCAAAGGCACATTAAGAACACAGGAATAACAATAGCACAATATACTATACATAGTTGTGGTATAGATAAGAAAGATTATTGTGCAAAGAAGTTCAATACTTTGTAAAATGTTATGTAAATTTTAGCCAATCATTGTTATGACTCTGAGTACTTCTTTACTTGAGATATTCCCATTAAAATGATATATATGTATATATAATATATGTATATATTATATGTGTGTGTATATGAGTATATATTTTATTTGGAAACATCACGACTGGGTGTAGAAAGGTTCAAGGGACAGAAAGTGTGGAATAGGAAAGAATGGATGGATGGCCAACACAGAATAAAGCTACATGTCTGGCCAGCACTGTAGGTAACTGATTCTTCATCCCTGGGGACCTTTCTGGACATCTACCAAGTAAAAATAAAAACTGTAAAAATAAAGAGGAGACCTTTAATTTATCTGTTTCTACATTCTATGTATGGCACACGGGGCACTGATTTATTGGCATTTGAGGGTTGTGAGTGCGCCCATAGGTGGCCAGTATGATGATGTCAGGCAGGTCCACGAAGGGAAGACTTTGATTGCTTGACTTGAGCTAGTAGATCTAAGCCTACACTGAATTGGTGCAGTGTATCTGGATTGAAGAACCCTTCAGGATAAAAGTGGTTAGTGATCATGGCATGTCCTGCGGAATACCTATTGAGATCCCAGCAAATCTTCATTATCATCTCTGAATGAAACAGCCACTCCTGTTTGCAGGAGATGATTCCAAATCCTTCTTGTTGGTCTAGGTATATAGCTCAATGGCAGAGCACTTGCCTGGCATGTGCAAGACCCTTGGCTCTAGCTGTAGCTTAATAAGTATGCTTGTTTGAAATCAGGTGGCAACCTGAGCCTATTTTACCAAATTTTTTAGCCCTGCCTTCTTTCTTGCTCTTCCCATTGCCTTAGTTTGAGCTCTAAGAGGAAATTTAAGGTGATACCCACAATTAGAACACCTCATAAAGACAGCTCAGGCTGTTTTTCTTTTCTCTCTCTCTCTCTCTCTCTCTCTGTGTGTGTGTGTGTGTGTGTGTGTGTGTGTGTGTGTGTGTGTGTGCAGATGCCCTTGCCCATGTGTATGTGATACCTTCATCTGTGTGGGTGTACATATGGCCTCGTGTGTGTGTGTGTGTGTGTGTGTGTGTACACCAGGTGTCTTCATCTATCTCTTCACATACTTTCAAAAGGGTCTCTAGCTGAACCTGGAGCTCTCTGTTTCAGATAGCTTGATATGGCCGAGAATTCCCAAGTCCCTGGTATCCACCTGTTTCACCCCAGCACCTGTTGGTGACCCAAATTCAGGCTTCATACTTGTGTGGCCAGCCCTTTCTCCACTGAACCATCTCTCCAGCCCCAGGGTTCTATCTCTTGTTGTGGCACATGCATCTGAGTGATTTTAACCCATAGGAGCTTACATTTTCTCATCCATAAAATGAAAGGGAAGAAACCTTTGTCACAGTTGTTTGATTTGAAATTAGAAATGATGCGTGTTCTCACAGAAAGCAATGCTGGGGAAATGGGAGGCATTCAGTAAACAGACATTTTTACTGTCAAAAATGCCATTGTTATTATTAATATATAAACTTCTAAATGCTTTGTGCAGAAATTTCAAGGTGCTGTTGCATCTCAAGATTTGAAAGCAAATAGAAGTTGGAAAGGAAGGTTATATTCATAAAACAGGAGCTCCTTCAGTTCAGTAGCGTAGTTGTCAGGCCTGTGAACTCAGAAAAACCTTTCTTCTGTACACCATGTGCCAGGCATTATACTAAGGGTCACAAATGACACTAGTGTGACTGAGGACCTTAATAAACAGCCACACAAATAAAACCGGATTCCTAAAATATAAAAAAAATGAATAGGATTTATATCAAGTGCAAAGTGCTACTTACAGGAATTTTGATGTTATGTACAGCAGGCAGTCATTTAAGAGACAGGCTCAAGCCAAAGAGAACTTTCAGAGTCTTAACACACCAGAGCTTCGTAGTTATTCTCCAGTTCACAGTCTCAGGCCCGATATGAAAGAACACTATACACTTTCTGCCTTCCAGCTACTTTTAAAGAAAAGAACTCTTACGTTAAAAGGGCTATAAAAATCTGTCTTGCAGAATGTGCGTGTCTTGCGTCACTGTAACAAGTACCGGAGCAAAGCAGCTTGAAGAGAGGACATGTTTATTTTTAGTGACAGAGGCAAAAAGGTTTCCAAAGCTGGCGAGTAAATATTTGTAATCAGTCCCATACGAACATGCAATCCCATTGTTATGAGCCGCTTCCCTCCCCCCATCAAAAGCCCCCTTACATATCCTTGTCTAGTCCATTCCTGTTTGGTCTTTTCTCTTACTATTATGATAGAAAACTTTCAGGTCAAATACACCAGGATGTGGACTTGACCTCACTTGTTAAATAGCTTACCAAAACCATTTTGACTTTATAAAGCTTGGCTTGGCATTACCATTGGATGACTAAAAATATCTACCTGGTAGGGATATTGCAAAACTTAAATATAAAAAAAATGACTTGTGCTGGGACCTCCATTTGTTCCAGTTTTCCTCCAACATCATCATCACTGTTAGTAATCTAGATGAGGAGTCAACAAACCTTCTGGTCTTGTGAAATCCAGCAGCATCCAATTCTTTAGTGGCTAAATTTGCATTACAACGTGTAATTGAATATTTACTCTCAATGAAAATATGGCAAGCAACGTTGTTCTGGTTTTGTTTCTGCTGCTCTGACAAACCTGCCGACACAGGCAAGATAGAGGTGGAAAGGTCATGCTCGGCTTGCAATTGCACGGTGCAGACCATCATGTTGGTGATGTGAAGGCAGGTGGCACCTGCAGCGCCTCATCTCCAAGAATAGCAAAGAAAACAAATGACTGGAGCTTTGCTTGCTACTCAGCTTCCTCTGCTCGTAGACAGTTCAAGGCCCAGCCTTTGCAATGGTGCTGACCATGTTGTGTTGGTTGGTTCCTACTTCATCAGTGCACAGTCAAGACAACCCTGTAAAGAAAATGTCCACCATCCAAGCCAATCTAGACAATTCCTCAGTTGAGATTGTCTTTGCAAACGATTCTAGCTTGTGCAAAGTTGATAGGCAGCACAAAAGCCTAAAATATCTTCTATCTAGCCCTTCATAGAAGTTTTCCAATCCCTGAAACAGTCATTGTAACAAGTATGTCTGTGCCCATTGCCCATGGCTTCCTAATTCCAGTCATGTATCTGTCTAGGCTAAATTACCAAGAAATGACTAGCCCAGCTTTAGTAACAGACTTTATAATGAACACCAAATCATCTGGAATAGAAATGTCATCTTCAAGTACTGCATTGGTAAGTATTTGATTCTATATTCACCCACTTATTGCATTGGTGTACACATACGCACGTATGTACAACACACATGCACACACACACACACACACACACACACACAAAGAGCTGAAAAGAAGTTAGATGTTATATCCACAGTATAGCATAGAGGAAGCAACTACTGAAATAAAATATATTTACCTCCTCAATGGTTTTCAATCAGGGCTAATCTCCTCTGCCAGAGGCACTTGGTGATGGCTAGAGAGATATTTGGGGCTGTTATAGGTGAAAGAGGTACATCTGACATCTGATTCTTCTCCTAGACCACCCTTGACACAGGATAGCTTTCCATAGCAGAGACTCAGTGTCCTAGCTAGTTTTATGTCAACTTGACACAAACTAGAGTCATCTGAGAGGAGGGAAACACAACTGAGAAAAATGCATCATAAGATCTAGCTGTAGGGATTTTCCTAATTAGTGGTAAATGGGTGAAGTCTAGCCCATTGTGGGTGGTGCTATTCATGGACTTGTGGTCCTGAGTTCTATAAGAAAGCAGGCTGGGAAAGTCATATGAACAAGCCAGTAAGCAGCCTCCCTCCATGGCCTCTACATCAGTTCCTGCCTCCTGTTCCTGTTCTGTTTAAGTTCCTGTCCTGGCATCCTTCACTAATGGACTACAATGTGAAACTTTAAGACAAACTCTTTTCTTTCCAACTTGCTTTCTGGTCATGGAGTTTCATTGCAGTAATAGTAATCCTAACTAGGACATATGGCTAAACCCAGATGTCAATCAGTAGTGTTAAGACTAGGAGTCCTGTCTTAGGTCAAAGTGATGTTGGAGCTTTCCAAAGATTACAAAAAGAGAGGGTGGGGAACTTGAAAACCATCTATGCTCAGAGAGCAGAGAGCTAAGTAGACGCACCCAGATCAAAGTATTTTTCGCCTCTTTGCCGCTCCTGCCTGCCTGTTCCCACCATCTGTTCTCAGCACTGCCGCGCCACCGTGGACTGACTCTGAAAGCCCAACAGACAGGAAGGTGGGAAGGATTTATACAAAGAACACAACACTTTTCCTACTGAAAAGTAAATGTTATTAAACATGTTTGAAATTTACAATATTCTACAGGAGTGGGCATTAGAACATTCCCTGTAATAACCTTAAGACTCCCTGACGTGACCTGAAATGATTTGGGATATACATGAAGCTTTCCGAGAGTATTTCAAAGAAATTGAGATGAGCCTTAAAATAAAGTTGCTGATTTTATTCCCTGGGTCCTTTTTTGCTTTAAAGTCTCATTACCTCCACAGATCCAAAATAGCCAAGGTAAAAACTAGGAGCTATCCTATCTATCATCTCATTTAATCATCAGAATTCTGGGGCGAAACCCTGGTCTCTGGGTGTTTGAAGCAGTGTGATTGTTTTTCCTTTACAGGGAAGTAGTCTGGGCTAAGATGTGAAGCAACCTTGATTGCACATCAAGAGGAGTTTGGATGGTGGCCTCTGCTGGGGAGGTGCAGGGGTGGTTTCCATAACGTCTGTTTTGTAATAGCCCAACATGAATCTCTTCACAGCTTGTTGAGCCAGTCAGACAGGTGTGCATCTTCCTGCCCAGAGGGCCAATTGAAAGGCTTCACCAAGGTGCTCCATACCAACCTGGATTCCAGACTCCATCACATTGTTTTATAATAATTATTTTTCATGGATTTTTTTTTCTTGCCTAGTACATATGCTCATAAAATCTGAGACCTTTTTTTCCCACTTCGTTCATTTTATATCTGATAGCACCTGATACATAATAGATACTAAATAAGCATGGAATGAATAATTTGTTGAAGCTAACTTCCCTGCCTGGAAGGAGTTTCATTGCTGCATGTGATTGATTTCTAAATGAGTCAGCATGCAGCAAGTACAATAGGGGTTCAGGTGAAGCTCCAGGCGGTGGATTGGGGATGGGGAAGGTGCCAGAAGAAGGGCTTTGAATTTTACTCATTATTCGGGGCTCTGAACTCAATTTCCAAAAGTCCTGACCATCCCATTTGATCTCAGGATCTTGTTGCTTTTGGAAAAGTCAGCACCATCTGGTTTTTTTTTTTTTTTTTTTTGGAAGTTGGCACCCAAACACAGCTGCTAATTTGGACTCCTAAACTACTTTAAAAATTAATGGCTTTATAAAAGGTCTGCAACTCCCTCTTAAGAGTTTAATATCATATTTATAAACTCAGTCGTGTTGAGTTCCAGCATATTGCAAATAATTTACAGTGTTGTCCTGCTCAGAGCATAACTAATGCAGCTCCACAGCTGTGAAGATAACTTTTCCTATCAACAGATGATAAACCATAAGTGGCTCCGTGTGGATGTGGGGAAATGGTCCAGATTTTTAAAACTAGGAGGGAAGTTTGACAGCAATGGCTTCCCTTACCTGGAAGTCATTTCACGGGTGATGAACACAGTCTACCTCTTTCTTGCTCATTCATACCTAGGAAGAACGGCTGCTGGTGGAGTCTACGACTCTTCTGCATGCTTGCTTCAGCACTGTTCCAACCAGCTCCTAGGTAGTTTGGAAAGTGGGCCAGCCAGCTTGGAGGCTCTGAAATCAAAAGGAACACGATGGAATGGTTGAACAGCATCCTCAAGTCTTAGATTCGAATCAGCTGGTCCCTAAGAATGAACTGCAGTTAAGGGTACTGCTGTGCTTTTCTATACCACACCACATCAGTGCTCCCTGGAAAGCAGCTCCTCCCCCCCCACCTCTCTCTTTCCTTCTCTCCCTCCCTTCCCTCTTCCTCTTCCTCCCTCTCTCTTTCTCTCTCTCTCTCTCTTTCCCTCTCTCTCTCTCTTCCCCCTTTCTCCCTCCTCCTGCCCCTCTCCCATTTCAACAAACCAGGTATGAAGTTCTACCTCTAAAGCTGTGATCCCTACACAAGATTACGGGATTCAAGCTATTTCTGCATTAAAAGCTCTTGTTCCACTGACTCCATTAATGTCTTTGGGGGGAAAGACTAAAAGGAAGTTTGTGATTAAACTAGAAATGACCATGAAAAATTTACCCAGCATTCTGCTTGGTCAAGGCACTGTTAAATATTGTTTTCACTATGATCTTTAAATTATTTTTTAATTTTTGTTGTATGTGTATGAAGCTGTGGTATGGGCATATGTATATGCTAGTGTATGTGTAAACTTGTACATGTGGGTGTGTACACACATATGTACATAGGTATAAAGAGGTCAGAGGTCAATATGGGATGTCTTCCTCAATTGATCGCCACTTGTTTCTATGATGCAGTCTCTCATTGAACCAAGAACTTCCTGATTTGAGGAAAGTAGCTGGTCATAGAGCTCCAGCACCTCACTCCTATGAGTACAGGGGCATAGTGCTGCAGCCAGCTTTTTATGTGAGTGCTGGGAAGGCCCACATGCCTTCACAAGGGACACTTTACTGACAGAGGTCCCCTCCTTCATTCACATTTTCAAGCACAAATTGATAAATACAAGTGTGTGTGTGTGTGTGTGTGTGTGTGTGTGTGTGTGTGTGTTGAACTAAAAATAAAAATCTTTTTAAATAATTTTTTTTAACCTAGGATTCCCTCCCCACTGGTACTTTGGCCTATCCAGGGCAAACACAAGTACTTGTTTTTATTATAAAAATATGTCCTTCAGGGCCCTCATTTCTTTAAGTGCCCCCAGAAATCCACAGAAAGCAGACTAGAAAACTAGGGTGGTTTGTTGTAAGTTTCAACTCAGGCAGCTGCAGTTCTCCTATCTCATGTGTGGATTGAAGCCAGTACTCAATTCCTTTCCTTCATCCACCTCTGTGGGAGAATATTTCCCCACACACGATGCAAGCTTAGCCGTTGTTTTCCTTTGGTAGTGGAATGTGCGTAGATGTGACAAAATTCCATTTTTGACCTTTGACTCTAAAGAGACAATGCTGTTTCTACCACTCCTTCTGGAAGCTTCTGAACACAGTCATGAGAAGGATAAGTCATTGTTAATCCTCCAACCTAATCCCTAGTGTGGGACAATGGTCTGTATTCTGTCAACTGTATTTTAAATAAATGCTGATTGGCCAGTAGCCAGGCAGGAAGTATAGACGAGACAACCAGACAGAAAGTAGAGGCAAGTCAATGAGAACAGGAGAATGCTGGGAAGAAGGAAGTTCCATCTGCAGTCCTGATCCAGCCACAGAAGAAGCAAGATGTGATTGCCTCACTGAATAAGGTACCGAGCCACGTGGCTAACACAGACAAGAATAATGGGCTAATATAAGTTATAAGAGTTAATAAGAAGTCTGAGCTAATGGGCCAATCAGTTTATAACTAATGTAGACCTCTGTGTGTTCTCTTTGGGACTTAATGGCTGCAGGAACCGGGCAGGACAGAAACCCCCCAGTCAGCAGATCTCCAGAGTGGGTTCCATTGGGCACAGCCAGACACATGCTCAGAAGCACTTGCTCTATCACATGGAAATGCTTGATCCTGTGGAAAGCGTACATGTTGGTTGATATGACTTACAGCCAGGGATCATTTGGAGTGAGATTTGTTCACTCAGTCATTCATAAAACAACACCTATAATCTCAGCACTTAGAAGCTGAAGCAGAGGATTGTGATGAGTTTGAGGTTAGTTTGGGCTACAAAGACTTTGTCCCACAACAAACCAACTATCCACTCAACCAGCCAACAAACCAAACAGTTATCTGCCCTACTATATACTAGATAGGGAGAAAGACAGCGTCTTAGACCTTATGCCCTTAGCATCTGCTTCTTACATTTTTAAATAGTCTTGTTCTATTGCCAAGACTGGCCCTGAGCTCAAAATAGTCCTTCTGCATCAACCTTCTGAGTTTTCAAATTGTAGGCATAAGCCACCATGCCCAGTTATATTTGATGTAAAGATATTTGTATTCTTTTACAATATACAGTCTGATTCTTGTACCTTCTCTTGGGCTCTTTCCCTTTTGCTTGTCTCATTTTATTTTATTTTGATACATTTTATTATTATCTCTTGGAAGTTTGTTTGTTTCCTAATGAGAGACAGAAAAAAAGTGGATTCAAATGGGAGGAGAGGGGAGAAGGAGCTGGGAGAAGTAGAAGAGGAAATTGTAATCAGGATATATTGTATTAAAAACAGTTTTAATAAAGAGAAAATTTCTTAAAGAAAAAAAATTAAGATATACAATGCACAAAAAAATGTACTAAAACATCAATTTGAACAGTGATGAAGAATTCAGAGTAAATAGCATATTAAAAAGAATATAAGCAAAACCATATGTGCATGGAATTACTTGAAATTCATTTGCAGACAAGATGTCCCAGGATCAGAGGGCTGGATTTCAAGGTTTGGGGAAGCCCTGGGAGACTTGGGACAAAGGCAGGCTGATATATAACAAAGCCAGGCTTTCCTTTTTCCTGCATGGCTAGCGCCTATTTTTCAGACCTGGGGAAGGTGCCAGGGCTGATCAGAATGTTTTTTAAATGAATCTTCTTAACGAGCTGTCAAGTTCAGTGAAATTGCCAGACGTGGCTTTAAAAACTTCCTGGGTTTTAGTACCTGAGCCTATAAAGATGATATACAAGCCACAGTGGATGCAGAGTGGTCAGGGATGGGTGAAAATTTGGAGAGGGGGAAGTTGGGCATGCAATGGAATTGGTGGAACAGGTGAAGCCTTCCATCTGGGTCTCTTGGTTACACACCTGTCATTGCAAGTGGAAACAAAGGGATGGAGTGGAGAGAGGCGAAGCCAGGAGGAAAGAAGCTAGGAGCACAGCAAAGCTGGGTTACAGAGCCTCAGCCTTCTACTTTTACAAGCCCAGATCTTGCCTCTCTTGCCTTCAACTTAATGCCTTCCCCCCGCCTCTTCTGCATATCTGCTTCCCTTTTCTCAAGAGTCACTGCTCTCCCAGCTGCCTCTTAAGTCAGGGTTTTAGGACTCTGTGGCATCATAAACAGTGCTGAGGCAGCAGCGTTATTTCATGAGAATCTGAGACCTAAAGCAGAACTGACTTCAATATATTGCCCTGCTGGTCAGTGGCAGACCCGACTGAGTGTCTCAACTTCAAATGACATGCTTCCCAGCTCAGGAAGAAATTAATACTTGCCAAAAATTCAAAATACCATCATCACCTTGATTACTGAAAAGCAAAACATAACAAATTTCAAATAACATAGATCAACACAACCCAATAAAAATATAATTTGAGCCATATGTGTGACTTAAAGTTTTCTAAGAGTCACATCAGCAATGGCAAAAGTAGACGGTTGAAATTAACTTTAATTTTAATAAAACCTTTGCTACAATCTAATATACTCAAGATATTATGATATTAAATTTAGTTTTTCACTAATTTTAGTGGTAAATTGAAATAGAAATTAAATTAAAAGTAATGCCGCTAGAATATCTGGATATCTGCTTTGCAATCGATGCCAATTCATTCTTATTTCCCTCATCTCTATAATTTATCTGTAAGCTTTACTTTTAAGGCATCATTTTTTTTATCTCCCTAGTTTCAATCTTAGAATGCAGATGCACAGATGGCTTTTTTTGTCACCAAATATCTTTCTCTTATAACTTCATGAGAATCATTGAATACAGGGTAGAGATGGTATCCTGTGGATGGAGAAGGTAATAAGCAATTAATCTTATCCACTTAGTGTCCTGGCCAGCACAGTAGCCTTGTGACCCATGAGTCAGAATTTCCTGAGTGGCCTTCAGATTGATTCCACTTTATATCTAGTAATGTTCAGAGACTATTGAGCATATTTCTCAAGCAAGTCAGCCCCCAGATTTCCATACATTCCCCAATCCCTTCAAAGAGAAGAAAATCAAGATTTCTCTGAATGTATACATGCAGTTCCTATTCTTGGTCAAGATGTTCTCATCCCTACAGGGACAAGTTTCAGTATTGCCAATGTATCCTAAAGAAACCATCAAGACATAAAAAAGCCAATCTCAGCACAGTTCACCTTCAACTGTAAACCAGCTCTTCCGGGGCTTTGGGTCGACTTTTCTCCATTGAAGGGAGAAGAATCACCTGGTTTGTTTATAGAAACCAATGCTTAACGTTGGAGAGTGAGCCAGTTGAGCTTAATAGTTTCCTTGACCCTGGTAAAATTCAGAGTTGAATCAATGTACGGATTATTGTACAATGTACAGATTATAATTACTGTACAATGTACAGATTATACATTACTCCTTAGATATAATATTGAGGGCAATGTAGAAAGACCTAAAGATAGAACAAATATTCTTTTAATTTTGAATTGATCCACCTACTGTGCGCGCGTGTGTGTGTGTGTGTGTGTGTGTGTGTGTGTGTGTATGTGTGTGTGTGCATGCGCACGTATCACAATAACATGTGTGGCAGTCAGAGGACAGTTTGTAGGAATCCGTTCTCTCTGCTATGTTGATTCCAAGGACCCGGCTCAAGTAATCAGACTTGGAATAAGTGCTTTTACTTTCTGAGCCATCTCATTAGCCGAAAAATAAGGAATAAATACAAATCAACACGTCAACTAGTACACTGAACAGGACACTTAGATATTGTCCAGATGCTGTGTTCCACGTCCACTTGCTTATTTAAAATCTTGAAAATACCCAGAATGCATTTGATATCATCTTCACATTTACTGACAACTCTGTACTTCGGGCAAGTCTCCTTCCTTAGAGAGGTGGTTTTTTAAGGACTCTGTAGGATCTATCCTACCTTTGAAGACTCTCTGGTTATCAACAGATTAAGTCTTTTAGAAACGGCCATTCATTCTTCCTGTTGGCTGGTCACCAGGCAAGGGGCTGCTGCAGATGAAGCAAAGTTACCTTTATTTTAGAAACTAGCTTTGATACCAGTACTCCAGTGATAAAAGGTCTTTATTGAGTCAGAGGAAGGTGGTTGCTCAGCAAAGACTTCTATCCAGCACAGCTCCTCGGATCACACATCACACACTTACACCTTTGCAGAACTTTGCTTTGAGTGGTGGGAATGAAAGAAGGGCACAATGAATGGTGCGATACCAGATTAAGCACTGCAGACCACCCTAGATGCACAGTGCTCTGCTCTTCCCTCCAAGCCAGCATCATGCCCCTAACAGAAACACCACACACACACACACACACACACACATACACACCACACACACACACACACACACGCACACACATGCACGCACACACACACACACATACACACATGCACGCACACACACACATACACACCACACACACACACACACACACATACACACATGCACACTTTTCCAATTTAATGCATAGCTGTGACTACCTGGCATCATTAGCACCTGAAGAAAATGCCTCAGTGTTAAAGCAAGCAAACAATAAAATATTAAGACTTACTTACATCCCTGGAGGAGCATCTTTCTTTTTAGGGAGGAAGAGTAGCTGTGGGAAGAATGGGTGGTCCTCCCTTGAATGGGTCCTTGTTTGCCCCTTTCATGGAGTTAAAACTGAAGCTTATACAGAGTTATTACTCACAAATGGAGAAAATGATGAAATGCAGATTAAAACGTGATCTTCGGATTTTACAGTCACACTATTTCCAGTGGACCAGGGCAAATGGCTCTTAGGTCTGCCCTTCACTAATGAATGCACATTTGTGAGCAAAAAAGAGAAAAGGTGGCCATTTTAATTTAACCTGAAATGCAGGGTATAAATGACACGGGGTACTCAGGCAGGAAGAAGTCAGAGTGCTCTCCCGGCTTCTTATTGTTCTTCTCCTCCCAGCACGGGACTGCCAGGCCCAGAGCCCAGACCATGGTTGGATTTGGAAGAGTAGAGGGATGCAAACCAGATGCTCAAGGCAGAGACGGTTTCCAGCTTGGTTAGAGCGCACCTAAAAGCACGTTACAGCCTTCCAGGGAATGAAGGATCAAGCGAGAGGCAGCTGCCAGGCCCTTGGCATTTCTTGAAAGCCAGTGTCCTATGAGGGAAGGAATGCGGGTGCTTCCACGATTGCGGATGCTGCTGAGGAAGATTCCTGAGCTGCAGTCTGTGACCACAGATGTCTCCTTTTAAACACTTTGTTTGGGGTCTGGAGAGACAGCTCAGTTAAGAGAGTGCCTGTGGCACAAGGATAAGAACCAGCGTTCAGATCCCCAGCCTATTGACTGGGTTTCTGTGTCAACTTGTCACAACTAGAGTCCTCGGAGAGGAGGGAGCCTCAGCTGAGGAAAGGCCTCCATGAGATCCAGCAGTAAGGCATTTTCTCAATTAGTCATCAATGGGGGAGGTGGTGCCTATGTGGGGCGTGGGGGGGGGGGTGCCACCCCTGGTCCTGGATTCTAAGGAAGCTGGCTGAGTCAGCCACGGGAAGCATTCCAGTAATTAACACCTCCAAGGCCTCTGAATTAACTCTGTCTCCAGTTTCCTGCCCAACTTGAGTTCCTGCCCTGACTTTTTTGATGATGAAAGTCAGTGTGGAAGTGTGTGCTGAATAAACCCTCTCTTCCCCATCTTACTTTTTGGTCACTTGGTATTTTTGCTGCAGCAATAGAAACTATAAGACACACCAACTGTTGTGGTATTTGGGAGGGAAACAAGAAGATCCTGGAGTTCACTGAGCAGTCAATCTAGCTGATCCATGAACTCTGGATTCAGTGAAAAACCCTGTCTGAAAAAGCAAAGTGGAGAGCAATAGAGGAAGCCCAACATAGTGTATTGTCTCCACATACACATAAACACACATAAACATAAACACACACACAAACTTTGGAAGCTGCCAAATCGATTATTTTCTTCCATCTTAATTCAAATTTAGCTGTGGGATTAAATGATCACTTCATTTAATAAACAATAGTTATCTCAGGAAAGAACTTCAAAAGTTAATCTGAGCACCAACAACCATCCCGATGGCTCCTACAGGAGTGAATGATGGATATTTAATCATCCATTGTTGTCTTGTTTTCTAATGGACAAATCTGTGCCCTTAGCATGAGGTACTAAGTCAGTGTCTCCAAAAAGTTGTTGCTCCACTTCTGTGAGTGATGCAGCTGAGGCTTTGACCGATGTACTACCTAGATCTGGAGGTTGACTGTACCAAACATGTACAAATTTTCCTTGTCACTATTTCCTAAACAACACAACCAGCTAGATAACATTTACAATGCATTGGGCACAACCAATAAGAGCTGGGTCAAGTATGAAGCGAGGGAGCATACAAGCCGTGTGTGAACACTGGGTCGTCCTGAAGTGGCACGAGCAACTTTGAGTTTGGGAATGGTCTTGGTATCATGGGACAAGAGGCAGTTGTACGTGGTTTGTACCCCTCCCTCCTTGTGTCACTCTCAAATAACACAAGGCTGAACAACTTTCACGGGGTTTTAACTGTGTTAGAAAAGAAATAGAAGAGATTCTATAATAGAATAAACTATCACATCGGATTCATAGTTCCTTGTCATGTCCTAAAAAATGGATAAAATCAAATTTATAGGAACTAGTAGTGATGGTCCTAGGCATTCTGATGGATATAAGATGAATCTCAAAGTAGTTTAGGTTTGCATTGCCCTGATGACATCAGACTAATGATCATTTCCTGTTTCTCAGCCACTTGAGCTCTTTCTTTTGAAAATTCTGTTTAGATCTGTGCCCCATATTAACCGGACTATTTGTTTATTGATGCCGTTTTTTACTTAGTCCTCTATCAAAAGTATATTTGATAAAAATCTTTTCCCATTCTATATGCTGCTGCTTTGTCCAAATGACAGTGTTATTTGCCGTGCAGAAGTTTCTCTATTTCATGAGGTCCCATTTACTAATTGTTGTTAATGCCTGTGCCAATGGTTTATATTCAGAAAGTCTTCCTGTGCCTTGAGTTAATGGCTATCCCCTACTTTCTCTTCTATTAGTTTCAGTGTACCTGGATTTTTAAATATAATTTTTATTGAATCTTTGGGAATTTTACATCATACACCCCGACCCACTCAGTTCCCATCCCTCCACTCTTTTGTAACACCCCACACCAAAAGGAAAACTTTAAAAAAATAAAAATAAAATAACTTTTATTTAAAAACTAAAAACACAAATAAGTATGCTAATTAAGAAACAAGAAAAAAGACAAAAAACAAACAAAACACTTTCGTCGAATGAACCAAAAACATCACTTGGCTGTTTTATCTTCACCGCCTCTCCAACAGCATTGGGAGCTACCGTGTATCATATCCTTTTGTCCAGGCAGTTTTACTTGCAAATGTCCACCTATGACCTGCTCGCCCTGCAGTACCATAGCCACAGGATCTCAGTGACTCAGGGCAGCAGCAGGACATCTGAGAACTGAATTGAATCTGTAGGTTGCTTTGTGTAGAAAGGCATTTTTGACTATATTAATTCTACCAATCCATGAGCATCTTTCCATCTTCTGATATCTTCAGTTTCTTTCTTCAGTGTCTTAAAGTTTTTATCATACATGTTTTTCACTTGCTTTGTTAGAATTATTCCCAAGATATTTCATATTTTTGAGGCGATGGTGAAAGACATTGTTTCCCTGATATATTTCTCGGTCAGATTGTCATTTGTTTATTGAAAACTACTGGGTTTTGTGACTTAATTTTGTATCCTGCTATTTTGTTGAAAGCACTTATCAGCTGTAGGAATTTCTTGGTGAAATTTTAGGATCACTTATGTACAGTACCATATCATCTTCAAATAAAGATACTTTAATTTCTTACTTTTCAACTTGTAGCCCCTCAATTTCCTTCAGTCGTCCTATTGCTCTAAGACTTCAAGTACTATATTGAATAGGTGTGGGCAGAGTGAACAACCTTGTCTTGTTCCTGGTTTTAGTGGAGCTACTTTGAGTTTCTCTTCATTTAAGTCGGTGTCGGCTAAGGGCTTGCTGTAAATTGCCTTTATTACGTTGAAATTTGAACCGGTATCCCTAATCTTTCCAGGACTTTTATCATGAAGAGGTAGTGGATATTGACAAAGACGTTTTTGCATCTAATGAGATGATTATGTGATTCTGTCTTTCAGTTTGTTTATGTGGTGGATTACATTTATTGATTTATGTATGTTGAACTATCCCTGTATCTTTGGGAGGAAGCCTCCTTGATCATGGTGTATGATCTTTTTGATATGCTCTTGGATTCAATTTGTAAGTATTATTTATTATATTTTTATTATTTAAAATTATTTTTTAATTTAAATATATTTTGATCATATTCTTCCCCCATCAAGCCCTTCCAGATCCTCTCACACTCCCTACCCATCCCACTTCAAGTTCTTTCTCAAAAAAACAAACAAAACCCTAATGTAACAACAAAACTCCACAAACCAAGAAAGCAATAAAACTACACCCAAAAATAGAAAGAAAAAAAGAACACCAAACTGTAACCAAATAAAAGCACATTTAGAAAATTAAAAAGCCTGTGACATCCATTATATGTTGGTCATCTACTCCTGAAGATGAGGCCTGTCCTGAAGGGATTGAAATACTCAGTGTCGCTCTGCTGAAGAAAACTGATTTCCCCTCTCCTAGCAAGTATGAGTTCAGTTGTTAGCCTTTGCCTTTGTGGCTGAATTTTCATCCATTTATTATTTTTAATATGGCAAAATAAAATGTAATAAGATAAAACAAAACCTATCACTTTGGAAAAGAGCCAAAGAGAAGGGGCAAGAATAAGAGATCCACTTATTTGTTCACTCAGGAATCCCATAAGAACACAAAACTGGAAGCCATAATATATAAGCAGAGGACCCGGTGCAGACCCAGGCAGGCCCTGTGTGTGCTTGCTGCTTCAGTCTCTGTGCATTATAGCTGCATTGCTTAGATGACTTACAGGGCGAGG